TAGAAGGTGTTTCAGGGGTTCCTGAAGGGGTTTCGGGGGTGATTTTGGGGGGGTCCTGGAGGGGTTTGGGTGGGTCCTGAGGGGGTTTGGAGGGGACTGAGGGGGATTGAGGGGTTTTAGGGGATCCTGGAAAGATTTTGGGGCCTCTTGAGGGGATTTGGGGGGTCCTGGAGAGGTTTGGGTGGTCCCAAGTGGGATTTGAGGGGGTCCTGAGGAAATTTGGGGGGTGTTGGTGGGTCCTGGAGGGATTTGTGGGGGGGATTTGAGGGGATTTGGGGGAGACCAAAATCCTGGGACTCCCAAAAACTGACCCTCAAAATCGTCCCAACATCTCCCAAAATCTCCTCGAGACCCCCCCAAAACCATCCTGGGACCCCCTAAAATGCTCTTGGGACCCCCCAAATCCTACTGGGACCCCCCAAAACCATCCTGGGACCCCCGAAAATCTCCTCGAGACCCTCCCAAAACCATCCTGGGACTGCCCAAAATCATCCTGGGCCCCCCCAAAACCATCCTGGGACCCCCCAAAATCCTCTTGGGACCCCCCAAATCCTACTGGGACCCCCCAAAACCATCCTGGGACCCCCGAAAATCTCCTCGAGACCCTCCCAAAACCATCCTGGGACTGCCCAAAATCCTCCTGGGACTGCCCAAAACCATCCTGGGACCCCCCAAAACCATCCTGGGACCGCCCAAAACCATCCTGGGACCCCCAAAATCCCCGCAGGGCTTGGAGATCGTGAACCCGCAGGCGGCCGAGAAGAAAGTGGCCGAGGCCAACCAGAAATATTTCTCCAGCATGGCCGAGTTCCTCAAGGTCAAGGGCGAAAAAAGTGGGGTCCCCACGCCCCCCTGAGACCCCCGGGACCCCCAAATCCCTCCCCAAATTCCTGGGGAACTCCCAAATCCCCCCCAGTTCCTCCATATCCACCAGAATTTGGGGTTTTGGAGCCGTTTTCGGGAGTTTTTGGGGATTTCTCCAGCATGGCCGAGTTCCTCAAGGTCAAGGGCGAAAAAAGTGGGGTCCCCACGCCCCCCTGAGACCCCCGGGACCCCCAAATCCCTCCCCAAATTCCTGGGGAACCCCCAAATCCCCCCCAGTTCCTCCATATCCACCAGAATTTGGGGTTTTGGAGCCATTTTGGGGAGTTTTTGGGGGTCCTCAAGCTGGAGGTGGATAAAATTGGGGTCCCCACGCCCCCCTGAGACCCTCAGGACCCCCAAAATCCCTCCCCAAGTTCTTGGGGAACCCCCAAATCCCCCCCCTCAATTCACCCCATTCTTCTTATCCAACAGAATTTGGGTTTTTGGGGCAGTTTTTGGGGAGTTTTTGGGGGTCCTCGAGCTCAAGAGGGACAAAATTGGGGTCCCCACCCACCGTGAGACCCCTGGGACCCCCAAATCCCTCCCCAAATTCCTGGGGAACCCCCAAATCCCCCCCAAGTTCTTCCATATCCATCAGAATTTGGGGTTTTGGAGCCGTTTTGGGGAGTTTTTGGGGGTCCTCAAGCTGGAGGTGGATAAAAGTGGGGTCCCCACACCCCCGAGACCCTCGGGACCCCCCAAATCCCTCCCCAAATTCTTGGGGAACCCCTAAATCCCCCCCTCAATTCACCCCATTCTTCTTATCCAACAGAATTTGGGTTTTTGGGGCAGTTTTTGGGGAGTTTTTGGGGGTCCTTGAGCTCAAGAGGGACAAAATTGGGGTCCCCACTCACCGTGAGACCCCTGGGACCCCCAAATCCCTCCCCAAATTCCTGGGGAACCCCCAAATCCCCCCCAAGTTCTTCCATATCCATCAGAATTTGGGGTTTTGGAGCCGTTTTGGGGAGTTTTTGGGGGTCCTCAAGCTGGAGGTGGATAAAAGTGGGGTCCCCACACCCCCGAGACCCTCGGGACCCCCCAAATCCCTCCCCAAATTCTTGGGGAACCCCTAAATCCCCCCCTCAATTCACCCCATTCTTCTTATCCAACAGAATTTGGGTTTTTGGGGCAGTTTTTGGGGAGTTTTTGGGGGTCCTTGAGCTCAAGAGGGACAAAATTGGGGTCCCCACTCACCGTGAGACCCCTGGGACCCCCAAATCCCTCCCCAAATTCCTGGGGAACCCCCAAATCCCCCCCAAGTTCTTCCATATCCATCAGAATTTGGGGTTTTGGAGCCGTTTTGGGGAGTTTTTGGGGGTCCTCAAGCTGGAGGTGGATAAAAGTGGGGTCCCCACACCCCCGAGACCCTCGGGACCCCCCAAATCCCTCCCCAAATTCTTGGGGAACCCCTAAATCCCCCCCTCAATTCACCCCATTCTTCTTATCCAACAGAATTTGGGTTTTTGGGGCAGTTTTTGGGGAGTTTTTGGGGGTCCTTGAGCTCAAGAGGGACAAAATTGGGGTCCCCACTCACCGTGAGACCCCTGGGACCCCCAAATCCCTCCCCAAATTCCTGGGGAACCCCCAAATCCCCCCCAAGTTCTTCCATATCCATCAGAATTTGGGGTTTTGGAGCCGTTTTGGGGAGTTTTTGGGGGTCCTCAAGCTGGAGGTGGATAAAAGTGGGGTCCCCACACCCCCGAGACCCTCGGGACCCCCCAAATCCCTCCCCAAATTCTTGGGGAACCCCTAAATCCCCCCCTCAATTCACCCCATTCTTCTTATCCAACAGAATTTGGGTTTTTGGGGCAGTTTTTGGGGAGTTTTTGGGGGTCCTTGAGCTCAAGAGGGACAAAATTGGGGTCCCCACCCACCGTGAGACCCCTGGGACCCCCAAATCCCTCCCCAAATTCCTGGGGAACCCCCAAATCCCCCCCAGTTCCTCCATATCCACCAGAATTTGGGGTTTTGGAGTAGTTTTGGGGTGTTTTCGGGAGTTTTTGGGGGTTCTCAAGCTGGAGGTGGATAAAATTGGGGTCCCCACCCCCCTGAGACCCTCGGGACCCCCAAAATCCCCCCCCCAAATTCTTGGGGAACCCCCAAATCCCCCACAGTTCCTCCATATCCACCAGAATTTGGGGTTTTGGAGTAGTTTTGGGGTGTTTTCGGGAGTTTTTGGGGGTTCTCAAGCTGGAGGTGGATAAAATTGGGGTCCCCACCCCCCTGAGACCCTCGGGACCCCCAAAATCCCCCCCCCAAATTCTTGGGGAACCCCCAAATCCCCCCCAAGTTCTTCCATATCCATCAGAATTTGGGGTTTTGGAGTAGTTTTGGGGTGTTTTCGGGAGTTTTTGGGGGTTCTCAAGCTGGAGGTGGATAAAATTGGGGTCCCCACCCCCCTGAGACCCTCGGGACCCCCAAAATCCCCCCCCCAAATTCTTGGGGAACCCCCAAATCCCCCCCAAGTTCTTCCATATCCATCAGAATTTGGGGTTTTGGGGAGTTTTGGAGGGGTTTTGGGGTTTGGGGGGAATTTTTGGGGGGTCCTCGAGCTTGAGGGTGACAAAATTGGGGTCCCCGCACCCCTGGGGCCCCCAAATTTCTGGGGTTCCCCCCCCAGTCCCCCCATTTGTGTTTCTTTCCTGAACTTTCTATAAATATTGGAATTTTTTTTACTGGAGCGTTTTGGGGAGTTTTGGGGGGAATTGAGGGTGGGGGGTCCCAGATTTGGGGGGTCCTGGACCTTTTGGGGGGTTCTGGGTGGGATTTGGGGGGAGCTGTATTTTGGGGTTCCCTCTTGGATGGTTCTGGAAGGATTTGGGGCGGATTTTGGGGTTTTCAGTGCGGGTTTTGGGGCAGATTTGGGGTTTTTCGGCGGATTTTGGGGTTTTTGGAGGGAAATTTTGGGAAGCCCCGCCCACCTGGGCGGGCCCTTGCCTGACCTCAGCCTTCTATTGGCTGTCTCCACTTTGAGTGACATCTCAGCCCGTTGGCCACGCCCCCTGCGTGCGGCCGGCGGTTATTGGCTCCGCCGCGCGAAGAAACAGCCAATAGGAGGAGAGAGCCGCGCGTGGCCCTGCCCCTCGCGACATGGCTCGGCCAATCAGAGAAGGCGGCGCCCACTCCCGCCACGCTCTGAGTGACGGCGTTTCTGACCAATGAGAAGGAGTCTTTTACGCGCTGTCCCGCCTTATAGGCGAGGCTTTGGCCGCACCCCGCCCCTTTTCCTCTATAAACACAGCGCCTCCAACGGGAGTGTGACGATGGGTTGATTGACAGCCCTGTGAGGAGGCGGGACAGCGCCACATTTCGTCCCGCCCTCCTCTGATCTTACCCAATCACCATGCGCCTTTCGCTGACGGGCATGCGATTCGGCCAATGGGGGCGCGCCGCGGGGCGGGGCGCGCGGGCGGGGCGGGGCGGCAAGCCTGAGGGAGCCGCCGCCATCTTGGATGCCGCTGAGGCCGAGTCGGCGCTGAACGAACGAAGGGGGGGCGGGGGAAAAAGCGGCGGCGGCGGCGACCCCCGCCTATCGCGACACTATCGCGACATCGCCGCCGCACTATCGCGACATTATCGCCATTCCCCGGCCGGCCGGGAGCGCCTGGGCCGCCTCGCGAGCCTCCGGTGAGCGCGGGGAGAGGAGGGGGCGGGGAGCGGCGGCGGCGCCGGGACTAGGGATCTATAGGGGGGCTGTGGAGGGTTTGTAGGGAGCTATAGGGGCCGGTGGGTGTTCTGTAGGGGGTTCATGGGGGGCTGTTGGGGTCTGTGGAGGGTTTTTGGGGTCTGTAGGGGTCTGTGGGGTTCTATAGGGGGTTGATGGGGTATATGACGTGTCTATAGGGGTCCTACAGGGAATTTATGGGGCATATGAGGTGTCTATAGGGTTCCATAGGGGTTTTATGGGCTATCTGAGTGGTCTATAGGGGTTTGTGGGGTGTATGAGGTGTCTATAGGGTTCTATAGGGGGTTTATGAGCTATATGAGGTGTCTATAGGGGTTTGTGGGGTTTTATGGTGTGTGTGAGGTGTCTATAGGGGTTCTATAGGGGTTTAAGGGGTACATGAGGGGTCTATGGGGTTCTATAGGGGTTTTTAAGGGTATGTATGAGGTGTCTATAGGGGTTCTATAGGGATTTAAGGGGTACATAGGGGTCTGTGGGGTTCTATAGGGGTTTATGGGGTACGTGACGGTTCTGTAAGGGTTCTGTAGGTGTTTATGGGGTGTTTGAGGTGCCTGTAGGGGCTCTATAGGGGTTCTATAGGGGTTTATGGGGTACATGACGGTTCTATAGGCGTTTTTAGGAGTAGGTATGAGGTGTCTATAGGGGTTCTATAGGGGGTTTAAGGTGTACATGAGGGTTCTGTAGGAGTTTATGGGGTACATGGGGGTCTATGGGGTTCTATAGGGGTTTAAGGGGTACATGGAGTGTCTATAGGGGTTCTGTATAGGTTTATGGGGTACATGACGGTTCTGCAGCAGTTTAAGGGGTATGTATGAGGTGTCTATAGGGGTTCTATAGGAGGTTTAAGGGGTACATGACAGTTCTATAGGGGTTTAAGGGGTACATGGGGGTCTGTGGGGTTCTATAGGGGTTTATGGGGTACGTGACGGTTCTGTAAGGGTTCTGTAGGTGCTTATGGGGTGTGTGAGGTGTCTATAGGGGTTTATGGGGTGTGTGTCTATAGGGGTTCTATAGGTGTTTATGGGGTGTGTGAGGGTTCTATAGGGGTTCTATAGGTGTTTATGGGGTGTATGAGGTGTCTATAGGGGTTCTATAGGGGTTTATGGGGTACATGAGGTGTCTATAGGGGTTTATGGGGTACATGATGGTTCTGTAAGGGTTCTGTAGGTGCTT